TTTGCATCGTTTGCTAATTGTTTGTGTCTATTTCTGTGCTATTTCTATGAAGTATTATATCTTTGCTAATTATTTTCTGTTCGATGGCGGCGCTTATATTAGTGTAATTAACTTGAGTGCGTCGCCATCGAAGTCTTGTATTTTCTTTTATGTGCTTTGATAAATCATAAAAACAAGGAGGAAGCAAACAGTGTATAAAATTCGTATCGTCTGAGATGGAAATTACAACTACTTCAGAGCCATACTGAAGCTGATTACTGCATCTTTCATCTAATTAATCATCTAACCATCCACTAGTATCAGTGCAAGAACACGCTATAGACTAAACAACCCTATGGTAATTTTCCACAGTGCTTAAGTGTAACTTTCATGATAGTTACGTCTCTGACGGCAATGCTAATACGTGCACCTTATCTTCGGAGAAGCAGACAGACAAGCAACCGGGGCTCCACACCATCTTACAACATCTTAACAACTTGGAAGTGTCGACATAATGAGGTCTGCGTGAATGGGCAATTTGTATACGGCAGACCGGAGCCCTATCTACTGGAGAGGTGGCAGCATTGATCGTTTAAGCAATCGGCGTCGAGCACCCAGAGTGCAACATCTTGAAACTTGTGAGAAGCACTTAGCTAAGTTACGTTCGTGGGCGTTTGTTCACCTCTGTGAACTGCTGAGGTGAAGAGCGACAACTGCAGGAGACAGTCAGTACTTAACTACTAGTGCTTTCACGACCCTGAGCTGTATTAGGCCACGTAGATGTAAAGCAAAGGAGAGGTCGTGGTCACAAAATAACCAAAGGTAAACTCCTGATAACCTGTCAATGTACTTGTTATATTCTACTGTCATATTCATGCTTGCCTACGCAGAAGGAAAATGTATGTTTTTGCTCTGTTTCTTCTTCTCCAAACACATAAGGTCAATGATCTGGACCAGACGTCTGTCGCCATGGTAACTGGTTATATCGATCATACAGCTTTGTATGAAACCGCAGATAGACCAGAAATTGTCTTGTTTTTCATGTGTAAACAATAAAAAAAAAAGAAAACAGCTGAACTTACGACTTCATTCGACACTTACAAGCCAGATGTAGTAGAAGGCGCATGAGGACATAGGACTAAGCGGTAAAATATTCCCTGACAGCGACATAGCGCATAGCACAGTACACCAAGCGGCTTCTTTTAATGTTCTTTCTACATCAAGCGACTTTTCATGGATTATTATGGGTATTCAAATCTCATTACGATAGCTTCGTTGTCAGCTTTAGTGACTTAAAGAGTGTATTGCTATTTCCATCTGTGTAGCCATTATAACCGTCCTTTGGCATAACTCACCAGTTTCGCAGGAACATTGCTTAAAACTATCTAGTGATGATATCCCTACTGTACTTAGAGGCAGTGAGTCCGGTATAGCCGGTATAACCGCCCTATGTAGTTCTAGAAAAAAATGGGTTTTTGAACACCAAAATTCTTGGTTGATAACTCTGGTACTTGAAAGCCTGACTATTTTTTTTTTTGTTGCTATTTTTCTTTACTACATGTAAGAAAGAATTTTTTTCAAATTTTACACATTGCAGAAGATGAAGGATTCGGCAATTTGCGTGGACGACCTTTGAGTAACACTAGTACTGATCTAATGTTTTTTTAATGACCAAACAGTGGTCTTCCCAGGGGGTCTTGGTCCAGCACTCGCTACCTGCTTGACCATTGCCTTATTTGGGAATGGTCAGCGTTCCATGTCACGTCCTTGCCATTACTGGACAGTCCAGTATTAAATGGCAAGGACGTGACTCAGAGGTATTTAACTTTTTTTTCTTAGAATTCAGTAAGTATGCGGATAGAGAATATCACTTTTGAAACCCAATGTACTTCTGCAGTAGAGTAGAGTTCTAACTCGGCTGACGAGAGAACACAGACACGTCTCTGTGTAGTACGGCTACTGCGTCTTCACTTCGTTGGTTGCGCGTACATCTGCACCATCGACCGGTAACCTTACGAACTTGTAAGGGCACCAACCGAGGCAGAGGCCAAGGCCACTAGCATTAAGCTGGTGTGTTACGCCGAAGGGCAGTTATACCGGCTATACCAATACAGATACCAGGTAACATGGCATTCAACCTCTTTACAGGATGGCATATATACAGGATGGAATTCTATAGGATGGAATCGTCACCTCCGAAAGTGCATTGCTAGTGCCATTATATTGTATGACTGCAGCTCATCCATACTAGTAAGCCATATGTGTAACTCTATCACCACCTAAGCCAGAAGCTCAATCAACATTTTTTTCATTAAAGATCAATCGGAACTTTGACTATTGATTGATTAGGTTGCGCTGATTGAGTTCTAATTGAACGAACACAGACATTCTTTACAAAAAACAAACCAGGTCACTTTGCATTGAGATGAATTCTGTCTTGTTTAATTCGTTTGTACAAACTATTTATAACATGGTGCACATTACTGACCATCTCCCCAAGGATAGGCGTAAGGCTGCGATAATATATGGGTTCCGACTTAGGGGCACTTTAGACTGACGACGGTTAAATAGTCGTACGAATGTTTATCGTCAAGATGTTGCCGGCGACGGTATTTCACAACCGTCTAAACACGATCAAAATAGTCGCACGACGGTAATCCTCGAATCGTCGTCACTACCACCTCGGACCCTATCGTGCGATCCTTCAGCGGGGGGTCCGAGGAGGACTTTCCACCGTCTAAAGTGAACCGTCGCCGGCGAAGGAAGTTGGAGGTCATTGGCCTTATGCAAATAAGCCCGCAAGCGTTATTTCATGTCCAAGCACATCGCCAGTATCACTAAATGCCGTCAAACCAAAGACTTTATATCGTCATACGTGTCTAGTACAATCCCCAGCCACCAATCGCTACTTCTCCGGTACGAACCGATCCACCGATCCACATTTCCCGGCCAATATAGCCAGGCCGACGGCAGCACCAAACGCCGGGTTCAAACCCGGAGTATATTGCCCCGCTTGGTACATGTGCCTCATACCCCTTCTAACTAGGAGTCTCATCCACAGAACAACGAGTTAAAAGCAGAATAAAAACAATCTTCTGCAGCATGCCGAAAAAAAGGGTTCTCGCCATTTTGAATTGGCGCGCGGCGTGCCCTCCTGCGCTGCGGGTGTCCGTCACACTTCCTGGTCATGTGTCTAAAGCCAGCCGTCGCCCACAACGATTGTCGTGCGATCGTATACCGTCGTCAGTCTAAAGTCGGCCTGAGATCTGATCACAGCAATGTGTCACCAATTAACCTGGTGTCCGGTTTATCGCGGTTGGGGTGGATTCTCTTCGGAACTGCAGGAGATCTTCTCCGCCCGACTCAGCTAGGCTCCCCGGTAGGTTTTGCACGACGGTAGATCAACTATCCCCACGATATTGTGGTTTGGCTAATTAACTCCTGGCATACAAACTCTATTAGCAACTACTCCCACCGGGCAGCCTGTTGAGTTGGGCGGGGGAAAGCAATTAGAGCCCCGAAGACAGTCTGTCCCAACCACGATAGACTGGACACCAGGTTGTTACCAATGTGACCAGTGTGACCTATTCATTGTGGTGCAGACAGTCCAATTCCTTTCGTTTCCTAGATGTAAAGAAAAGTCGAGCAAACTTATTCTTTTAAATTGAATAAGTCGTGCTGAAAATAGTTTCTTCTACCATACAACATATTACTAGGAAGATGCTGTTTCTGGTAAATAGATATACTGTAATGGCATCCACTTTATTCTTTTTGTATCTGTATAACCACCCCCCGGCGTAACATACCATCTTGCTATATTATACAGAACAGCATGACCTTTGAACATATAACTCTAAACATTGTTTAAAGCTATCTAGTGGTGGAGACTCTACTGTACTTGATAACAGCAAGTTCCATTCTACGATAGTTCTAAGAAAAAATGGGTTTTTGAACACCTCGATTCTTGGGTCATTATTCTGTTACGTACTTGAAGGTATGACTAATGTCTTGTTCTTGAATGGCACTTATTTCCAATGGAATAGGGTAGATTCATTTTGCTTCGTAAAGAAATATCCAGAAAATCTATTTTTGCATCGTCCCAATGTTATATGACCCAAGTTTAACAAACACACCTTGTTTTGATCTAGTTGAGAATTCTACTTTCCAGCTTCTTTTGATAGTTTGCCCTGACCTTGTGTGTGTGACCTCGCTGATCTTTTACCATTCGGGAAGACTTTCCTTAATTCGCCTACCAGGGTTGCAATTACAGCGATGGTTCATCAATCACTTAGCAGGCACATTTTCAAAAAGCCACACTTCAAACCGCCTCGTTACCTCTTTGAAGAGCATGACAGATGGTATTTTTAAGACTTCTCAATTACACAGGCTAGACTTCTGACAAACCATTTTCAGATGTTACAGAATTTGTTAGAAGCTTGTCATACATTTTCCATAGCCACCACAAAGCAGGAGATTATCCATAATGAGCCCTATCCGTTGGATTATGACCACTAATCCCAAACAAGTTAATGAAACCTTTGAATTAAAAGACTGTTTTGGCATGGAAGTGTGAAGACCACTTTGAAATAGATACTGCGTAAAACAAGTACATTACACCGAACGACCTGTTACACCCAATCTTTGCCCGTCTAACTGCAAGAGTTTAAAGCTTTCTAGTGATCCAAACTGTACTTGGTGGCAACGAGTTCCACGTTACGATAGTTCTTGGAAAATATAAGTTTTTGAACACCTCAATTCTTCGTTGCTAACTTTGTATTTGAAGGCATGACTGTTTCTTCTTTTTTTCTGAGCTGGTATTACCTAGTTAATAGCTGGTACGTCCACCGGTCTCTTTGTTGGCAATAGGTCACCTTTCCAACTTTGAGTTGTATAAATATATGGCCAAGGCACGTACATTTGTACATCGTACGATAAGTGTGGATATGTGTAATCATGCCCGATGTCCTTGGTAAAACAAACTGTCTTATCACACAGCACATGTACTATAACTAACACATCTGGACGCTCTCATAGCGATAACCTGGTCGGGCCATTCGGTGAAAACCATCCCCAACATGAAGTTCGTTCTCCTGTTTTTCGTCGTTGCCACCTGTGCAGACGCCGCTTCTCTGAAAGGTGGGGAAAACCTCAATATTTTGTGCCGAGTTGGGTCGTGTGGCGTAACGGTAGAGTGTCCAACTCGGAACCAAGAGGTCGAACCCTGCCATGCCACCGATCTTCCCTTGGGAAAGACACTTTACACGACTTTCCTCACACACACACTTTGACTTCGCTCATGATCAGGTGGAAATGAGTACTGTATTGTCTTCTCTGTCGGTGCCGGCATAGCAATAAGTTGAAAAAAAAGGTCAAAAAGAACTTGAGTGTGCAGTCGCCACGTCTTGTGATTACATGTTGAAATATAAAAAAAAAATGTTTGGTGCCATTCAGGGGTCTGACTACCTCCCTTGGCATCAATTATCTGTCACAAAGCCCTCAAGGTCACGTACAAAATTTACTTCATACAACTCAGTGCTGGTGACATATAGTCTGCCATTTGACACTAGTATGTCTACCTGGGAAAGTTAAGACGGATGCGTTAGTAATTGATAGATCACCCACTTGTCTTGTTTATACTCATTTGTCTTTTACCCATTTTGTAGTTATGTATGTATTTTGTCAATGTGTTTTACTCTCGTTCTATGTTTTTGAGTAGAAGGAGTCATATAAGCAACTTTGCTTCTTGCCTATTACTCAATAAAATTGTGAATAAAATAAATGGAAGTGTAGAGAAGATTGATATACTTTGAACTTGCCATGAAGTATGTTCTTGAAGGTAACGCCATCGAGGCGTCATCATATATGAGAAATATGAGATGATTTATTGGCAAGTAAGCCAAACGTAGCAGCAAAACATTGAAACTTGTGTTTTTAAATAAGTTCAATGACTTTGCCGCTTTCTAGAAGTCAGCATGACATATGTATTTACAGATCAAAACAAAGCTGGCTGTTTGTCCAATATGAGTAATATGTGTTTTGGGAAATCAAACCTGTTCGCCACCTTTTTGAACAATGCGTAGGATTTGGGGTGGATTTTATTGCAGTAAAATAGAATTTATTTACTTGGTTACTCTACCAATATGTATGAACTGTTTGGTAAAATTTGAAGATTTTGACTCAAGATCGTTTCGAGACACGCATCAGAAATGTCGATGTGACCTGATATGACTGCGTTCTGTTCATCACTATACTAAATTGAATTGCTGTCATCTTCATCAGGGCAATTCTGATACAATTCAGAATTGCCCCGATGAAGATGACAGAAGGTCATCGAAACGTTGGCTTGAAAACTAAATGGTTGTGATAGAAAGAACTTTGCTATTCAGTCGTTTACCAACGTGATGAAATTATTTACGGATATACTAAACTGACTCTGTGGTATCGTGTAGCGTAATGGCAAGAACCAAGAGGTTCGATCCTCTGACATGCCCAATGTTGTGCCCTTGGGAAAGGCACTTGATACTTTCTTTAACCGCCAGGCAGATCTTTGAGTGCCTGCGAGATAATATCAAATTGGTCCGGCAGTATCCAATACGTGGGGTGGCCAATGGCTACAGGCGGCCAATATAGCCAATATACCTTCACAGAAGGAAAACATAATTGTTTTTACTCAGTTTCTTCTTCTTTCTCCGTTCCAAACTAATAAAGTCAATGACCTGGACCAGACGTCTGTCACCATGGTAACTTGTGCTGTTGGGTCACCTTATGTAGCAGAAAAGAGTAGAGAGCTTGCTCACCATACATATGAATGTATTTGGCTTTGAGTAAGAAGAAATAGTGAAGTATTAGTAGTTTGTTGGGCTAGACCAGGTGAAGGTAAATATTGTGCATTTGCTTTGCAAATGTTACCGTACGTTTTCTTTTTTTTAATTTCTTGTTACAACACCTTTCCCGGCCCAGCGCCTCGACTGTCGCCACCCTTGTGCGCGTGTGACTTCCAGCCGGACTTCGCCTGTGGGCCTGCGCCCACCGACTGTGAGCTGACCGACGACTACTGCGGCTGCTGCCCGGTGTGCGCGCTACAGGAGGGACAGACATGCGGCGTGTTTAGTGCCGGGTAGGACAAGTCTACAACTTTGTTCTAGCTGGAAAGTTTATGCTAGCTGATCAAACATGCACCGAACTATCACGGAAGTTCATCTGCGTTCGGTAGTAATCATAGTACAATGCTGAACTTTATTCGAACACAAGGGTACACAAGGACAGATTCTTTCAACGACCACTGTCGCCTTCATCACGATAAGAAATTACTACAGTTCCGTAACTCTCGAGATTACGTTCAGAAGTGATTGGTTATTTCTTATCTTCATGAAGGCGACAGTGGACGTTGAAAATCTGTCCTTGTATACCCTTGTGTTGGAATAAAGTTTAGCATTGTACTATGATTACTCATAAGCTCATCTGTTTTGGTAGAATCCATAGTTGTAGGGTTTGATCTTTGTTCCAACACGAGAAAGGAACTAATCACCAGGAATTTTCAGTCGATCTCGTCAATCTTCATCAGATGCATGACCCACTCGCTGACTTCCCGGAAGTCGGAAGCGTGGTGACGTCAGGAGATTCCGTCTTCCCGCCACTTTTGATTCACTCCTGACGTCATCACGCTTCCGGCTTCCGGGAATTCAGCACAGTGGATCATTCATCTGACAAAGGTTGTCAGGAATGACTGAAAATGCATGGTAAGTTCCTGTCTTGTGTCGGAATAAAGTTTAAACTCTACAACTATACAGTCACCTAACTGATCAATGTTACTGAGCCATATTTTCTCAAGACACTAAACGCTTCTTTAAGTACAAACTTGTACATTCTGATCTCTACTTTCCATCATTCTTCATAATCGTCGTCTACAGCAATTAGAGACAGTCGTCTGGACTTTAATTGATCTGGAGACGTGCAATATACAAGAGATTCTTAAGATAGCATCCTGGCTGGTAGAATGTGGCATCTTCGCTAATATTATATCACAGACGTGATCAATCTAATTATAATCAAATCAATTGGTGGGTTTTACTAAAAGTCACAGGACTATCCCCTCTATATCTGTCAGATATCCTAAAATACCAGCAGCAGACACAGCAGATAGAGGTTACGACCTGACCATGGCTATGGCATTAACTTGGCATTACACTTTGAAAGGCTACAACCCGCTGATAGAGTACCATGTATATCGACCTCGTTTACATTATCGTATACCTGTGCGTATACATGTACAATGCCATGGTTATTATGTTTACCTAAGGAAAGCATATTGTTTTACTTCCAAACAAAGTCAGTGACCTGAACCAGGCGTCTGTTTCCATGGTAACTAGTGTTGGGTTACATCATGTTGCAATTTTATAGCAGGAGGGATTTAGACTCCTGTCTGACCATATATATGAATGTGTTTGAGAAAGAATTAACAGAGCAGACCATATGCGAAGGTTAACATTATGCATTTGCTTTTGCGAATGTTACATTTCTAGTTATTTATAGTTTAGTATAAGTAGAAGACAAGGTACATTTTAATTAGATATTTGAATAGAGAGAAATTCATTTTCCTTACAGTCTTTCATAAACCAACTCTAACTAATCATACAGCCACTTACATTTATAGAATTACCAAGAAGCTAGAGGAGGTCAAAAGAACTTGCTAACTAACTTGCTGATTAATAAGTTATCAAACATTTCATGTCTGTAGTTGTGGTACAGGACTGACCTGTGTTATCCCGCCATGCACCGGGGACTTCTGCAACATTTTCATTGGTGGACCGCCTCCATCCGGGACCTGCGAACCTGCACGGAGTAAGTACAACCGTTTCATGGGACTCAAACGTTTTCATAATATCAACAATTAACAGAAAACCTTTTCTTGCTTAAAGCTGCATTATGTGACATTAGGATGATAGAAAAATAGATTTTCTGGTCATTTCTGTAAAAAGTTGAATCAACCCTATTCCGTTGAACATAGGAGTCATTTAGGAAGATGAGATATCAAAATATGACTCTTACGAGTGTGTTTTGGCATTTTGGCATCTCCACTTCTTTCTCTTTAAAAAGATGGAAACGCAGCTATCGACCATATTTGTTTACATTCTGGTAGTTTTAGGTGGCACCACAAATTGAGTACGCCACGTGTGGGCGCCAACTATAAATGTCAGACATGTTAGATAACTGAACAAATATGTTGCAAGTAAATTACAATCACACGAAGACTCTTTCAAAGAATTTATTTCACAATTCGGTTTTAAAAATTTGGTGTCGTTTCTTTAATTGTTTGCTTCATTCCTACCCCACCATTGTCCCACGCACAAAAACTGTGTGTCTGCTCATCTCCTAATAAGGAGTTACAGCGGATGTCGTCTTAAGTGCGCCTACGTCACATCTGCGTCACTATCTAGTCACGATGACGCGGCTGCTGTGTCTAGAAAGGCCGGATATGAGTCAGCCACACTGTACTGTTGGAACATTTGGCATAAGTTGAAAAGAATCTTGAATGAATTATTGTATGGGGATGTAAAAGTCTTAGTTGTTTGTAGTTTGTTTTGGGTCTGTATTAAACTATTCAAGTATGAAATTTTAAAAATGATGACGAAAATGTGCTGAGAAATGGCAGTAAATGTCAATATCAGACAGATTTCCCCATCCAGATATTTTTGTTTGTTTTACCACCCTGAAATTGCTTTAACATCTACAGTAGCCTGGATCCCAGCCTTGCTAAGGCTAACAAGACTGGGCTCCAGGCTATGGTCAAGTTTGATTCTGTCAAAACTTCATCCCAAAGACCCACGACAACATTAAACTCGTACAGTTTAGCGGCGATCGCGAGCAAACGTGTTACAGTCTTAGATATTGAAAAAAAAAGTTTCTTCGGCCATGACTTTTTTGTAGTTATGAAACCAATTCAAGTATCCAGACTGCGCTACCAAAATACACGTCCTCATGGTAACAGATGTTATCATAATCACTACAGATGTAATTCCTATGGCGGAAAGTGGACACTTGGAGTGGCTGTTCAAAGAATAGGCGAAAAGTTAGCCTTTAAACCAAAATAATACATGTCCTCAAGGTAGCAGATGTTCTCATAATCACTACACAGGCAATGTTTATAGCGGAAAGTGGACATTTCGAGTGCATGGTGGATCAAAGAAAAGGCGAAAAGTCAGCCTTTAAACCAAAATAATACATGTCCTCATGGTAGCAGATGTTCTCATAATCACTACAGATGCCATTCCTATGTCGGAAAGTGGACACTTCGAGTGGCTGTTCAAAGAACAGGCGAAAAGTTAGCCTTTAAATCAAAATACATGTCCTCAAGGTAGCAGATGTTCTCATAATCACTACAGATGCAATTCTTATGGCGGAAAGTGGACACTTGGAGTAGTGGCCATGGATCAAAGAAAAGGCGAAAAGTCAGCCTTTAAATGAACTTCCTGGCCGTTCCTTGATCTTGCACTCTCTAGTTCCTTTCCACTCAACCTCTCACGACAAGCAATCACATAACCATGCCTTATATGGGCATACAGACAGACGGATGTCGGCGTATTTCTCAGAACACTTGTTTTTGTAACGGCTGTGCGTACCAAAATAATTACTCTAACAACCATATGATGATTAAACATGATAACTTTAATGAGTGGTTTGGGACTCCGCTGAAGTTACCATTGCTAATGAGACAATTGGTCGTTTTTAATGGCAATTAGGCCTTCTTGGTCGCATCCAAAGTCCACGTGCGCGTTCTTAATTGATACACACATTACACGGCGATTAGTAAGGTTCCGGCGAAAAGATGGAAAACAACCTACTACACGTGGACAGTACAAGATCTATCTGTCTTGGCTCAGACCCAAGGGGTTCAAATCCTGCCCAATGCCACCGATCTTGTGCTCTTGGGAAAGGCACTTAACACGACTTTCCTTACTTCACTCAGGTGTAAATGACTACCTAGCTTCGGTTAGGGACGTCCCTTGGATAGGACGTTAAATGGAGGTCCGCACGTTAAAAATAACACACCACACATAATTATCGAAAAGAGTAGGGGACCTTCCCGGTGTGAGAGGTTAAACCTTACAGTCTGGTCTCAGGTACGTTTGACATCTTGAAGAGGTGATAGTCGACCTGTTGTCAATCCTTCCACAAATGTGGTAAATCCATAGATAGATAGATGAAAGAATCCAGCCATGTTCCCAGCAGCCACTATGTACAATTGGAAGCTAACAAGGCTGGATTCCAGCCTCCTCCAAAACCCTGGATTCCAGCCTCCTCCAAAACCCTGGATTCCAGCCTCATCCAAAACCCTGGATTCCAGCCTCATCCAAAACCCTGGATTCCAGCCTCATCCAAGAACGCCGTGTTTCAATATTAGATATAGCGAAAAAAGTTCCTGTGGCCATGGGTTTACTGTAGGTCAGAAACCGATTCATTTTGAAGTCAAACTACTAAGATCAGATGCCATGTCCCTGTCGTAACAGATGTCCTGTTTATCAGAGCAGAAGCCATGCTTATGTCTGAAGATGTAACTGAAGTGGACACTCGAGTCAAAGATCAAACAAATTGTATAAATTCATCTTTAAACGTGGCTTTCTTCCTTTTCCTTGATCTAATTGACTGCAATCAAAAGGATGATCAAAATCTAAATGTGCACTTCCTCTTCCTCTTCAAACATATTGACAAATTGATTTTGTGTTTCAGCTTACTAAGGAATAACACTACTGCAGACCAAGGTGGAATACTGCTGCCAGTAGCAACTAGCTATATAGTCTCAAAGAAATAAAATAGTATATTGGTTCAACGTTAACGTTTGTTCAGTGTGTTGACTTGAGTGTATACAAAGAATACGGTTGCAAAAATACGTCAGTAATTATCAGTCTTAGAACCTACAAAACTAAGGATTTGTTATTTCAACCTGTATTGTATATGTTTTATGTACTTGAGGAATGGTTCTTATAAGCACATTATGAATAAAACAAAAAATAAAAGTACGGATAACCCTATTTTCTTGGCATAATACAATACATTTATTTATAATATTACTTATCTATAATAAATAGTCATAGGGGGACGCAAGCGTCGGTCAATTTACACAAACGTAAAAAAACAAACTTTTCAACTTTGCCAGCTGGCTTTGTTCACACCGTACGATAGAGGTCAGTAAGTCCTAGCATAGTCACTGTTGCTTGCCATTTCTAGTAGTGGCGACAAAACTTTTATACTAGGCAATCCTAGCATCATGAGACGTGTGGAGTTGGCAGTACTGTTGGTATGCGTGCTGGTTAGTGTGGTCGGTGCGTACCGCCCGTACTGTCCGTGTTACGCGGAGCCGGGGTACCAGTGCCCGCCGGCGCCCCAGGACTGCGAGCTCACCAGGGACGAGTGCGGCTGCTGCGACGTCTGCGCCGGGTTAGAGGGAGAACCGTGCGGTACCGGACTCCCCAGGTGTGTGGAACTTTGAAAGAAGTAACTAAATGTTCAAATATCAGACTGAAATTATGTGTGTTACCCAAGATTTCATTACTAAAAGTAACCGTTTCGTACCCTCTATGCTAAATGTGTTGCAATGTGTTGTTAGGGGACATGGGGGACTGTCTCCTAACAACACATTGCAACACTTTTAGCATATTGCACTTGAGTCCTTCTTGACATGTCACGGAAACGGGGGGGGGGGCAGCACATTTAGTTATATCTGATTTGTCCTGTGTACATTTCTTGTGTTATTTTTGTGTAGTATTATATCTTTGTTGATTACATTATGTTCGATGGCGGCGCTTATATAAGTGTAATTGACTTGAGTGCGTCGCCATCGCAGTCTTGTATTTTCTTTATGTGCTTTAATAAATAGATAAAAAAATCATAGTTATCAACCAGAAATTGAGGTGTTCAAAAACTCTCGTATTTTCCATGAAGTATCGTAAAGTGGATCTCGAAGTCATAATTAATTGCCCTGATGAAGATAACAGACGGCAATCGAAACATCGGCTATTGTTGAACAAGTGGTTGTGAATGAGCAACTTTGCACTTAGATTTCAATTATAATTCGCCAACTTGATAAAATTATTCGACGATAATGTTTGAACGTTTTACGTGAGTGAAGCATTTTAAGCTTCATTCCGTAAAGTATGGGAAGCAGACTCCTTTGCCTCTGCTATTTTTGCAAATCTACATTTATATAATAAGTTCCATGCTGACTTTGAGTTAAGTCTTCATGTTACTTTCTAGATCTATCTCCGGATTGATCATTCAGTATAATTGAAGATATTGTATGAATAGATCTCTGATGATATTTGCCAGCATGGGGCATATTTTTGTGCAGCATACAAACTATGGATCTATCATATCAGCATAATTGAAAATATTGTATGAATAGAGCTCTGACGATATTTGACAGCAAGGGGCATATTTTTGTGCAGCATACAAACTATGGATCTATCATATCAGCATAATTGAAAATATTGTCTGAATGGAGCTCTGAAGATATTTGACAGAATGGGGCATATTTTTGTGCAGCATACAAACTATGGGTCAATCATATCAGCATAATTGAAAATATTGTATGAATGGAGCTCTGAAGATATTTGACAGTACTGTCACCTTCATCACATGACCAATCACTCCCAAACTTAAACTCGCGAGAGTTGCGGTTACAGTCACGTGACCTTATACACACGAGACTTGGCGGAAACGCGACGTCAGCAAGTAATCAAATGTGCCATTTAATTGAATACTAAAGGGTTAATGCCCCGCCCGGGTTGTATATGGTGAGATAATCCCTGGTCAGGTGCGATAACCACCGAATAAACCACCAAGTGAGCGTAGCGTAGGTACGCCTGATAATCCATGGAAAATGGAGCCTTCTGATTGGTCGACGCCTTCTGGTTATATGGTATTTTTCTTTAATCATTTCTTTTGATATATGTAGCTGTGCCGGAGGTCTGACATGTGTTCTGGAGGAGTGTAACCCAGAGGTTGTTGACGTCACGCTAGCGGACGGAACTGTGACTCAGCAGGTTTCCCAGCCGCCATGTTTGTTCCTCCTGCCGTACTTCCAGAGGGGGGAGTGCCAGAAAGATGACACAGCCGGTAAGTTTGTTTCTTGACTTCTGTCGTACTTCTATGGGGTGTGTGTCAGAAAGATGGCACAGCCGGTAAGTTTGTTCCTCCAGCCGTACTTCCAGAGGGGGTTGTGTTAGAAAGGTGACACAGCCGGTAAGTTTGTTCCTCCTGCCATAGTACTAGGGGGGGGGGGCAGAAAGGTGACACAGTCGGTATGTTCACACGCCCTCTACACGTATCACAAACGTACAGAACTGCCATAGGACAACACTAGTACTGTTCAAATATCCTATCAAATGGATTTTATATTTGAACACAAGGGAAAGGGTTACACAATGACGTTAAAAAGTACTATACAAACTAAGGGAAATTTACAATACAGTGTTTTAGGCAATGTAAAGCGACATATATGCCTTTCAGGTATCATAACAACAAGACAATCTGACACGTTAAACAGTACTGCATAAGTAGCGAGTGGTTGAGACTAGTCTTTAACTGCACGTGTCTGTATATTTCTAGTTCCAGCTAAACGGCAGGCCGTCCCGTTCGGGGGAGAATCTTGCGAGGTACGTTTTCAAAAGAACCTGACGTGTAAATAGGTTGACAATGCTAACAGAACGCAATTAAAAAAACAGCAGTTGATCTATCCATCCGTCCATCTACCCATCCATCCATCCTTCCATCCATCCATCCATCCATCCATCCTTCCTTCCTTCCATCCATCCATCCATCCATCCATCCTTCCACCCATCCATCCATTCTGCCATCCACCCATCCATCCTTCCATCCATCTATTCACCCATCCATTCTTCCATCCATTCTTCCATCCATCCATCCATCCATCCATCCACCCCTTCATCCATCCATCCATCCATTCATCCACCCATCCATTCATCTATTCATCCATCCATTCTTCCATCCATCCATCCATCC